CTTCTCCCCTAGTGCTATTAGAACATGGAATGGGTTATTGCCTGAGCCAGCCAGTAAAACCAAGGACTTGGCAGAATTTAAGTCATTTATTAACATGCATGTCTAGATGCATAAAGCTCAGGATGTAATCATCTTCTTTTTTGAAGTAGCCTCTGTATTTGATAAGATAAGATAAGAAGGTCCAGACAATGATAGGATCATGGCGCATAGATAAAGATTAAAGCTTGGATGGCTACCTGGTCATGTGGTTTGCGCGCTGGACTGTCGTTCAGATTTATCGATGGACCAGGGTTCAAACCCTGCCCACTCCCATCCCCCGTCGTCCTGAAGGAACATCCAAAGCATGTAAAACATTTTACAACATTTTTACAAACAAATTGCACTAAACAAAAACAATTGGTAAAAAAAAATATTTCTAATCTCACAGATTTATATTGGTAGTCTAGATCTATTAGTAATTTAATGACATGACTGATTCAAATTAATTGATACAATTACACTTAATATAATCTTATTTTTTTAAGTAGTATTTTTTTTTTTTTGCTATAAGTAATTCAATAGCTTAGTGGCTAATAATGTTAGCCTTCCACCGCAGGGCTTGAGACCTCTAGACAATAAGCAACTTTTTAAAAGGGATTTTGAAAAGGCAGCACAAAACCCCCTCCCAAATAACTCCTCCCAACAGGTACACTATAAGTGATTGTGTCATAGCACACTGATAGTTGAGCTAAACAAAAACAATTTTTTTTTAATTTAATGTTAGTCTAGTTCTATTTAAAATTCAAAATAATTAATACAAATTCGCTCTGGCTTTCCTGGCTGCTTTAGTTTGGCCCATGACAGATATAGATTAATTAGATCCAAAAGACAAGTGACAAAAAGATCTAGCTCCTTCAATCAAATTATTATCGTTAGAAAAATAATCAGTTCAACTTTTTTTTTGGTTTCAGGTTACGCCTTTGTTTCCCAAGATGGTTCACTGGCAGGTTATCAGACACTGGCGACTATAATCCCTTCCAAGAAAGTGGCAGTCTTCACATCTTTTGCTGGGGATGAAAGTGACAAAAATTTCATCATCAAGGTTGTTTCCCATGTTTCATATTACATATATATGATATATAAGAGAGAGAGAGACATGTTATAGATATATGTATGTTACGACAGGAATTCAGGAATTGCTAATGCTATATTAATTCTAGGATAATATTCTATTTTCTTTCTGCCTCCTGTCAATAACTTCAATGAAATTAGGTTTCTGAGCTGTGATATCTATAAATATTAGAAATATAATTAATTTTACCCAAGCCTCCTTGTAAAGAATGAGGTGAAGTTGCATAGACAATGCTAGAGTTTAAAAATTTGACTCTCTCTTACAGACAAAACATTAAAAAAAAGGTGAATTCTTTTATAAATTTTAGTTATTTAAAAAAAAAAAAGATTAATATGCTTCAGAATATTTGCGTTCTTGTGTTTGCCTAGAGTTCACGTAACTGTCCAGTCATTAAGACATGTATATTGATTGTCCTCAGACACTTATCAATCAATATATACTGGACATACTTCTGGAGGAAAGAAGCTCCTGGTTAACCAGAGGATTCCCCCATATATGTTCCATTGTTGAAAACATTGCTAGCAAACTTTCAACAAGAAGGACTCCAGGAAGATCTGTTTATGGGGTAAAGAATGAAAATTGGAAATTATTTTTATATGAATCATTTCTTCTATTATTTTGTTTTATTTCAATTTTGTTTCAAACAAAAAAAAGCTATTTGGCTTTAAATAGAGAAAAGGTGAACATTGCAAAGAATTTAACCAGAAATGCAAAGAAATATTTCAACAGGTGAGTGATCCATGTAAGTGACACCTTAATGTTGGTATATAATTGTCCTTTTTTGATCCTGGCTCCTTGGTGATCTAAAGGAATGATACTAGCCAAAAAAAGTTTGATTCTTCTGCATGATCTGTGATTCCCTCCCACCATCTCTCTATGAGATTGTTCCCATTACAGCTTCTCTCATAGAATAATATAGATCCAAAGTTCTCAGCCGTGGTTTTCCACCAGCAGTTCATTATTAGCAACAACTTACATGGTTCATTGTTACAAGAAGACTAAGACAGTTCATAACAAGCAATGACTATGATTCATTGTTACATTAAGACGTGGATGGCTGTCTGGTCATGTGGTTTGCATGCTGGACTGTCGTTCGGATCTACCGATGGTCCCGGGCTCAAACCATACCCGCTCCCATCCCTTGTCGTCCTGCAGAAAGTTTGGACTAGGAAGTAAAATATCTTGAGCTCTGAAGGAACATGTAAAACATTTTACAAAACATTTCTACAAACATAACTAGCAATGACTATGGTTCATTGTTACATTAAGACGAAGACAATTCATAGCTAGCAATGACTATGGTTCTTTGTTACATTAAGACTAAGACTTCTTTACTGTTCCTAATGTTTATGACTACTTGGAATTTTTTCAATTAAAAACAAAAGAGATCAAACATAACATATAAAGAATTTTATTGGCCGATGCATTACTGAAGGAGCATTTGAAACTTGTAAAACAGTTAATGCAAAGGAGGCAATTAAAAATTGTTTTGTCCTTATACCAAATTGAACAAAAACTTTTTTTTGCTCATCTATTTGTAGTAGCATAACAACATACTCATGGGCTCAAGAATATGCTGGTGGACCCCCCTCGTATAGTTTGTCTGAAATAAAGTCTAATTGAGTTATCCTGAATGTATCAGTATGGCTACATTAACAAGTAGGCCCAATGGTAACATTCAACTCCATTCAGTCATGACTGCAATCAAGACTAAGACAGCTTTATTGATCCTTATAGAAATGTGTTGTGTTGTCATATAAAAAACAACACAACAGAAACATTCACATAAATAGAACAGGCACAACATAAAGAGTTCAAAGTAATACAAAGTCAATACATTTAAACTATTACAGTCAAACATTAATTGTCCCTTTTTTTTTTCTTTGAAAAAGGCCCCTGTAGGCTATAATTGGTCATGAACCATTCGTGCCATGTTTGTTAAGTCACTGTTTTTTTTTTCAGACATATCAAAGGTTTCTATTAAGTAAAGTAGAGCCTAATTAATAATGACTCATGAACAATACCTTTTAGTTTAAATATTAGCTCTGCTCTTTAACTAGATGTAGGCTAGTATATTTTTTTTTTTATTCACTATTTTAGATTTGATTTTGTATAAAACATATAAAGATACATCATACATGTTCATGTTTGCTGCAGTCTTTTTTTTTATTCACAACTAAACTGTGAACAAAAATGCAGGCCCATGCCGAATATCAGCCAGAAATCTATGAAAACAGGTACTTGAACTATGCCTTTGGTGAAGTGCTTGTAGAAAAGAATTCAACGTCGGAGCAAAATCAAGCGAAAAAACTCTATTTGACTTATGGACAGATAACTTTTGATTTGATACCAACATCTGAAAACCATACATTTCTTGTAAGTAAGACATACATTGGAAATAAGTTGCATAAGATGTAGCTTACTAGATCTAATCTACACAATAACATCCGCAAATTATTAAGCATTACTTGGTTTGGAATTAATTCAGGGACATTTTTTTTTCTAATTACACTCCAGATTTCATGCTAGATGCATGTCTCTTTGTCAGCTTCTTGAGGTGTTAACTTTACTCCATCTAGCATAAATCAGTTTCTAGATGATACAACTAGATCTATCTGTAGTTTACCATTGCATCCTAGTGACCATGGTGACTAATAATGAAATATTTAAGATTACTGATAGACCTACTTATGAATGACCGAACAATTTGAGGAGAAGGGAAGGAAAAGGAACATATGGGAGTTATTTATGTGACACCTACCAGTCTCTGAATGTCAATATTCATGTATACAGAACATGATTTCAGATATACATTTCTAGGACTTCTCATTTTTGCTATTGAATGGTTTGAATGTTCTCTACTGATGAGTTATGTCATGTTTTGCTTATGCATTATTACATTTGTAATGCTAAGTTATGTAACTTCTATCATACTAACTACTACATTTACAAAGAAAAAGTTTTATTTTTTTTAAAGAGAAAAAATCTATTTAGTATGCATATAAGTAGGACATAATTTGAAAACAACAATTAATTAGTTTTTCATATTATCATGTGAACTGCAGTGTTGTAACACAGAAATAGTGCACTTAACTTTTTTTCTTTTTTAACTGAAATTGTTTCATTCTCGAGGATTTGAATAAGAGATTGACCCTTTACAAAACAATTAGATAAATTAGTTATTCATTGTAAGACATCAGTTAGGCTAGGTTCACATCTAACTTCACTTTCACCTATCCTTTGATCTGCTGGACGGCTGGGGCACCACACAAGATCTGTCAACCTTCTCTTTCCATTCTTCTCTGTCATTTGTCTTTGATAGAATTTCACTCTGATGTTCTTTCTGAAAATTTTGAAACCTGCCTTTTTACCCGCCTGGGTGGACCACTTCGGGGGCCGATTTTGAGTTTGTGTTTCCACACAAACTGTCTTTGTAACCTTGTTTTTATTCATGATTTAAATCAAGTTATGTTTTTTAAACATCCAAATACTTTCTTTTAAACATAATTGTTATTACATTTGCACGAAATCTTTAGCTCATATTAGACCTATTGACATATTCGTCTGTTTAAAAAAAAAAAGCGCTATTGCAGTCTAATTTCACCCTCCTGTTCAAAGAGCTTAAGATATGACTATCTTTTAGATTGGCTTTATATCTAAACACTAAATAATATGTCTACAGATGAGGGCAACTGGAAATTATTGGCACATCACAAACACTGAGTTTTACACAAAATACAGAATCCTAACTGCAAGGTTTCATGCTTTCACTTGGAGTGAACAAGATGGGGAAAGGGCACAATCAGTCACCATTCAAGGCTTCGACAAGAATGTGGACGGTGTTGAGTTCAGCGTAAACCCAGAGAGGCCTAAGTTTAGTATGGAGCAGTGCTCAGGGGCCACTTTGCCACAAGTGGTTATCTTCTCCTGGCTTGTGGCACTCACTGCGCTTGTCTCGTACATTAGATAACTAGCTAGGTGATATTTTAATTGAATATATTTTTCCTTTTATGTAACATTAGGTTATGCATTGAACATTTTAACATTTTTTTTTTATTTTCATTTTTTTAAAAGACAATTGACTGCAGTGTCCATCTGTTTGTTAAATGTTATCCATATTTAGAGTTACTTTAGGAACGAGAATTGGAATAGATGGATTTATAGTGGCTTTCAATTTATTTTCCTAAAATCACTTTTGAACAATACAAATTTCATTTTATTTTTATTACTTTTTTAGTAACCAAAAGTAATTCAATAAATAATTTAACCCTCTCCTCCTCAAAGTGTTTCTACGGTTGACTAAATATATGTATCTACTCATGTACATTGATCTCATACAAAAATGTTCTCAAAATGTAAAGAAAACAAAAAGAAATTAAGCTGTAGCAGGTGAGGAATTGAATTATAGTCCCCATTCCCTTTTCCAATGTTTTATTTTAATAATAAAAAAAAACAAATAGAGACAGAAAGAGTTGATAAAAGAAATTACTAAACTGAATCAAGCATTTCATTTTGATTTTGTTGCTTTAATATTGAATATTAAATATATTTTCTGTTTTGTTACAAATATAATAATGAATGTTCATTATATTTTATATTTATATATATATATATATATATATATATTTGTATTTTTTTTGTTATAATTAATTTTTTGTTTTTTGGAATAGCGTAAGCTTAGGACGGATACTAAAATTCACCAAAAAATGGATAAGTTTATGTGTACTTAATTTCAGTACTACTGAGCAAATGGTTGCTTTATGGAATTTTCACTGAACTGTATTAAAGACGTAGATTCAGGGAAGACTAATAGTTTAGCTTCACCCCCCCCCCCTCCCCCCATACACACACACAGATTTCAGGATATTAGAATAGGTCATAAATAGGTCTTATTTAATCTTGTTTTATATACACACTGATCACTTTAGAATCTGAGAGACTATGTCACATAATTTGTTGTGCGAAATGGATCTCAAGGCTTCTTTTCAACAGGAAGAATAAACCAGCTGACAGTTCATTCTCCCATGAGAGGTCAAGTGACAAATTGTTCAGATTAGTCATTGAATCTTTTTTGTTTAAGTGCCTAAATGTTTGACAGCTAAGTTATATTTATATTTGCTTGTAAATTTCAGACTTTAGCATTTGCCACAAAAGAATCTTTCCAGAAGTGTAATTCATCAAATGAATTGCCTCCCCTTTATTTGTTGTACAAAATCATATTGACTAAACACATTTACATGTTTCAACGTATTTTTATTCTATTATTTTTTTTATATATTATTATTACAAACAGTATTATTATACATAGACATTATTTTTTTGCTATTTTATATATTTTTGCATTAATATCAAGTTTTAATGTTTGCATTCATATTTAATTTTTTTATTGAATAACTTTCTGTTGCCTTCTCATCAAGAGTCTAAATAAAATAACAATTGGTATTGTTTAGGAGTTCAACACCTCTATATCAAGATACATATGATACACAGGCTAAAAGGTCTTATCACTATTAAATAATTTAGATTGTAACCAATGGGAGGTACCACAGTTATATTAAATTTCCTTTGAAATGATAAACTTTAAAACAAAAGGGGTATTAGTTAATGTTTGAGTATCTAACCAATTTTTTCAAACGTGTGTAGAAATTAATATATATATATATATATATCACATTTATTGTTTTCCACTATGTATTTCTAAATTTACATATTTTTTTTTCAAATGTATTTTTCTGTTATTCTCCTATTGGAAAACAAGCTTTAGCAATTAATAGAAAACAAGCTTCCAATGAGAATTTATTTCCCATGACAGTTACTGGAGTTGTACATTTTGTTTTTGTTGAGTGTTTCATTGTGCCTGATATGGATTTAAAAAAAAAAAAAGGATGTAATAGATCTTTATGTAGAGTGTGATGTGTGTTGCATTTTGACACTATTAATTGGCTCTTATGTTATGACACTTTCCTAGACTTCAATTTTCAAATCTTTCCACACTGTTTTCTTTTCTTTATAAATAAAAAATATTAAAACGTATTCTTTCTTTTTTTTTCTTTTTGAAATGTGAAAATTTTGTTGTTGGATTGTCAACGTGAAGTTCAAGTAAACTTAAATAATAAATAGTAAAAAAAAAAAAAAGTTTTTGAAAACATTGCTTATATTAAAGTGCACTAAAAAGCAGAAAATAATTTTGGTAGTAAAAAATCAAAGCGCTGGGTGCGTGTTTAGTATCCAGTCTTTGACATCATCTTCGCATTAACATTTCATGGCAAAAGCTGCTTGAGTCTGAGTTTGAACTCGAGCCTCCAGGATAGAAGGCTGACTTGTTAGCCACTTGCTATCCAAGTGATAAATTAGAAGGTTTTATAGTCTATTGTTAGTTTGAAATTTTAAGTGAACACCTACACAAGATTTATCTCCTGTTAGCTTAGTATATTTTCTATATAAAAACAAAAATTAATTACTACTAATTGATTAACTAATTGGTTGACTTTTTTTTTTACTCATTCATGTGTTGTCATCTAGCATGAGCTTGTACGTAAAATTTGGTGACGATTGGATGAGTAGAAGTAGTCGAAAAATCAAATGCAATAATCCAAACATACAAAAAAGATACTGAGTGAGTGAGTTACTATAATAGTTCTTAACTGAAATCATCTTTTCAATTTGTTCTTGCATTTGGCTGGACGATCTTTTACACTATAAATCAAAGTTGATGTACATTGTTATGTAGCATGTGCCATGGGTGCTATAATTTCTACACAAATGTGACCAACTTTCATAGAAATAATGACATTGTAGAACTGATCCTATATGTTGTCATGTTTTATTGATGGAGATATATCACACAAATCATTGAAGTATTTCACACAGTTTGGCCCAATAATGTGCTCCAGATTATCTCAAAACAAAAACAAAGTTAACATCTAATTATGTGGAAAATTGATTAAAAGCTTAGAGCATGTACATTTTTTTAAAGTTTAAGTTTTAAACTTAACAAGAAGGTAGATATTCTGTAGCAAATTTAACATAATCTATGTATATTATTTTAAGAAAAATTTAGATGTAACTTAGAAAAAAAAAACTTAGTCTGGGTTTTTTTTTTTTTTTTTCCAATCTTACATGCACTATCTATAGCCACTTGGTCTCAATGTTTCATCTACTCCCTTCTTTGCACCTCCAAAATTAAAGTCTTTTTAAATATCTCTTCATTAATACAGACAAAAGCAATTAAAAATAACAACTGAGAATAACAGTATAGAAGTAAACTCATAGAACTATGGTTGGCATTCTTACAACTACATGGTATGTCTAGTTATTACAATGATATTTACACCTCTGCCTCTGGTTGAGCAATATAGTTGATATTACATTTGTGATAGATAACTACAGAAAATTAGCATCTGCTTATACAACCAATCCTACACTGTTGATGGATTTAAGGAGACAGTTTATATTGTTACATAAACAATAAAAGACATTACATACAATTTTAATTGTGAGGAGGTAGGGGGAAAGAAACTTACTATATTAGAGTAATGGTTGTCCACCCATGGACATTGACAAATTATTTATTTTTTTTACTCCTGTTTAGAAGGATTTTTTTTTATTAAACTTATTTACAAATAATTTCCAAACATTCAATCTGAATGCATAAAAATATTACAAGACAAAATATAAATGTACATAATAATTAACCATTTCTAAAATGGATATTTCTGTCAATAACATCAGTATAACCTACAAACACAGCTATGGACGGAATTGCAATGTTTCGGGTAGCCTATCGCACTGAAATAATATGATCATCCTTATGTGGCACATAACTGCTGGAAGGGAGAAAGTACTTCTGGGAAGACTTGAGAGTGATAAGCAGGGGCTTGTCAAAGAGGTCTACACCTTCACCCAAGTTGGAGGTAAAAGGTTGTAAAAGAAGGGGCTTCATTGGTAAGTTGATGTGTGATACAAATCCTCTAATCTCACCAGGAACTTGTTGTCTGCCCTTTGTTCTTATGGGCAGGAACCCATAGTCTGTGATCAACAAAATAAAACAAATATTAAAATGGTAAAATGGTTAAAAAAAAAATTAGAATTAAAAAATACCATTATGATTGTCAATGCACAAAGTGATAACATACATTTAGCTGCTACTTTGATATTATTTAAAGAATGGAGTTAATGCTCAGTATTCAAGAGTTAAGCCAAAGTTTACAAGTGTGAGCAACTTTTTTTCTCCAAATTTTTGGAATGGACCATAGGTTAGTACATGTGACATACAGAGATGCACCCCATTTTAGGTCAGTTTGTTTTAATCATAGGTATATTCTATAACCATCCAGGAATCATGGCAATGTGCTTAAGAGAGCAGTTTAGAAATTACACAGGCATTAGTCCTTTGTCATTTAGGTCATTGGTGAGTCAGCACTCTAGTTTAGACTAATGTAGTTTTGGGTCAGTTATCTGGTAATTGGATAACGACGAGCCCTAAAAAAAACACCTAACTTGTTATAAAGCACAAAAAGAAAGTTTCACTTTAATGAAACTAGACTCTTGCTAAATTTAATGCAGCATACTTAAAAATTTATTTTTTAAGCCAGGACAATGAGACTGTTTAAGTAGAAACTGGACCACACAACATCAAATCAAAGAAGAAATACAACTCACTAGAGTTAAGTGATGTCTCCCTGTCTGCATGGCATACACTGGTGTGCATCTGACCAAGTCTGACCAGAGCTGGTTTACTGGAATACAAAGTTATATCATTGAGAGTTTTTTTTAAACAAGTATATAGGTAGATTTGTATTTAGTAACTTATATAGTTATAAATAAGCCTCATCTGTAGTTATTTTTGTACAAAATAAAAATGTGACAATTAATAAAAAGAAATAAGACAAAAGGAACTCAGACAAAAAAGGTCCCTCCTGACTTCTCTGACTACCTAAGTAAGAATAAAGGAATATGGGGCATGTATGGGGGCTAAAAGCTCCACTCTAGAAATTCTACTGCTACATTTCCGACAATGGAAAACAGAAAAATTTGTCCAAAATATTGGCCAAGGACAGGGAACTATGGAGATTTGTTGTTGACAGCCCAAGCAAGGCTGACAGTTAAGTAAAAGAAAGGACAAAACTAAAATTGGAATCTAGGTATAGATTATACATTATATAATATAAAGCATTGTCTTTGAGTTACTAAAAATAGTCAGATCCAACTTTGGCATACATATTTTGATACAATGTAGATTACTTTATCCTGCTTTTATGCTTCAAAATATTTATTTTAAAATTTGCTTTTTATTGTAAATAGAATAAGAAAAAATGAAAGAAATGATTGAAGAAAGAAATATGTTCAGAGACCATCTGAATAAAATAACTTCATTTCATGATAATGCACCCTGTGAAGAACTAGTCAGTATTGAACACCTAATGCAGGATGCAGTATCCCATTAGTGAAAATAGAATAATTTTGTACAAGTTCTAAGCTAAAGATGTATATAGAAATGTTAATAATACATCTAAGTTGACTTTCATTTCTATTTATGACATGCTCTATTCTCTCATTTAACTCCATACATTATACAAGTGACTGAGTTAATCTGGCACTACTTTAAAATATCTTCTTGTTTTTGAGAGAAAGGAAATGGATTCTATTATTTATTAAAGAAAGCCAATGACGCTATGCTGCATCACTGTAAAGTGAAAAAAAAAAATTTTATAAAAAAAAAATTCATAAATTTTTGATTATACATTGTGTGTTGTGGGGGGGAGGGGGGTTTGAAGGCTGAGTGGTTAAGCATGTGATCTTCCAAAAGTGGGTTCTTTTGTTAGAATCTCAGTGAAGACTGGGATTTTGAGCTTCTGGTTTCTTAGGATATCCTTGAGTCCACCCAACTCTAATGGATACCTGATATTTGTTGGGGAAAGTAAAGGCAGTTGGTCATTGTGCTGGCCTCATTAAACCCTCATTACTTGCCAGTCATAGAATCAGATAAACTTTACATCATCTGCCCTATAGATCCCAAGGTCTGAAAGATGAAGGGGGGTTTTATGTTATAGATTTAAACAGTTTAGGGTAAAGAATGCATAGAAAGAATATCTGATAAGAACTATGCCAGAAAACCAATATATATATTGTATAATGTGAGTTATTCATCTTACTGAGATATCTTCGGAAGAACAAGAACTGTATTTTTAGGTTGTGCAAGAACTTCAGTGGTCCCCCTGGAGGAGACATCGCCCCTTTTCAGTGCCTCTAGCTCTCTGTCAGTCATCATTTCACAGAAGAATGTCACTGCATCTATGTATGTCACACACTCCATGATAGATGATCCTTGAATGTTATCTAGTGTTACTGAGGAAGAGAAGAGATATTTTTAATAAAAAAATGTAATTAAAATAAAAAAAGATTATTGTAATACGAAATCATAGGTAGCCCCTATGTTACCATAGCTCTTTCTTCATTAAAATGGCCAAGGTGAACATAATTATTTGTTTACTTGTGGAAAGGGAATGCACAATTTCATCCTTATCAACAGAGAATTGGACAATTTGAATGTGTTACACTTCCAATAAATAACATTAACTGCCTTTTAAATCCAGCTTTTAAAAAAAAAAATTATAAATATATATAAACAATTTGCTTATCTGGTGGGTTTTTATTAAACCAAAGTAATCCACTTCAGCAACTAAGTAACTAATATATTCAAGAAGACAAAATAACTGTATTACATTTTTTTTGTAACACTATTTTAATTAATAACAAATATGATATGAAAATTGTTAGGGTGTACATGCCTTCGAATATTAGTATATAGTAAATAAAACATTAATGTGTTGTTTTAAAAATGGTGAGTTGGTTTGGAAAAACTGTTAACATATTACATTTTACAAACAAAATTGTTGGCATTAAAAAAAAAAGTTTAGATTTAGCATTTAGTTAAGTGGTAACATCTAATTTTTAATAGTGCTTTTACTTTTTAAGATCTAAATGTGACAGAACGGTGGTCAGAGAGAATCCACGAAATCAATAGTAGATTTT